ACAATGTGATATTACTTCACAGCCTCTAGTATAGCTATTACCAAAAAAATAAGATAAACCTGGTGAGGATGAAGAGCAATGTGAAACAGTGGACAATTTTGGCAAAAAGGTAAATTGCACAGTCTTTACGGAAAACATTCCAGAAATTTCTTTAAAAATTAGAAAGAGAACTATCATATGGTTCACATATCTCATTCTGGGGTGTATAACCGAAGAAAATGAAATAAGTAACTTGAGGCAATATCTGTACGAACATGCTATTCAGCCTTTAAAAAGGAAAGAAATCCTTGCCATTTTGACAAATGGATGTGGTTGAACCTGAAGGACATTGCATTCAGTGAAACAAGCTGGTCACATGGATAGTCCACAAAATCATTTATAGGTGAAATCTAAAAATGTCACTCTTATGGAAGCAAAGACTAGAATGGGTTCTCCAAAAGCTAGTGAGTAGGAGTAGGGAGATGTCAGCCAAACCTTGCAAAGTTTCACTGATGCAGGACTAGTAAGTTCTGGTGAACTTACTAGTGAACTAGTGAACATACATCATGGTAATGGTAGTTAATACTACTTTGGATATTTCAAATTTGCAAAGAGAATAGATAGTAAGTGTTCTCACCAAAAAAGAAACAAATGGTAACTATGTGAGCTGATAAAAATGTTAGTTTGATTGTGATAATTATTTCACCATGTATATGTATCAAAACATCATACTATACACCTTAAACATGTGCCATTTTTATTTCAGTTTTGTCTTAAAAAACTGAGGAAAATTAATAAAAGTCATAATTAAATTATAAACATATATGCAAAAGAAATAAATTTTGAATGTCCTTTTGAAGATGAAAGGAGCACAATTAAAGTACTTAGCTTTGAATAGTAAGAAGGATACCTCCAACTTTACTGTCTTTGATACAAGTATGAAATGGTGTGTTAATTAACATAAAACAGTATTTCTAGCATCATCTGGAGAAAGGTTTTGAGCGTTAAGGAAACAGGAATGACAGGAGCAAATGTTTTTCAAGTCATGTATAGACTATAGTTTCCACACTCAATAATGCTATAACACAGTAAAAATTTATTTAACAGTGAATTACTGCTTGATAGCCTAATCATCCACCCAGAGGCCTACATTGCTGATAGGGAATCACTGAAATACTTGGATGCATAGATGATGATTCAGTGATTTTGCACATGACATCCAACCTCAAGGGGGTGCTACACTTACGTCACTTTATTAAGTTGTAGAGTACAAGGAAATTGACACCATACACTTGGCTGTCTTTTCTAATCCAAGCTAAGGTGGCTATTAATCAGACATATTAGAGTAACTTGGAGAAAAACTTGATAAAGGATTTAAAGTGCCTTGCCCTTCCTCTTATCCTCTTCTTCTCTCATATACCTTAGAAGTTGACTTTTCCAGGTGAACACAGAAAAATTGAAAAGTTTATCAAAGAGATTATTGATATAGTAAAAGTCAATTTTTATTTGATAAATGTTAGAAAATATTTACTAATCAAAGACTAAGCTTCCTCAGATATATTGATAATAATGATCACATATACTCAAACAGGGCTTGGGGTGAGGATTCAATCCACTAAGAGACCTGAAGCCTGAAGACTACTGACTGGTTTATAGTGAGGATAATGAGCATTGAGTAGATAGCATGTAAAAGGAGTACTGTAATACAATTGGAAAATAAGATACATACTGCTTCTAAGGCAAAAGTGTGTGTGTGTGTGTGTGTGTGTGAGAGAGAGAGAGAGAGAGAGAGAGAGAGAGAGAGAGAGAGAGAGAACATGCACACTCAAGTTTGTGAGGAAGAATTAAGTGGTGATAATTATACATAGTTAAAGGCTTGAGACATTTAGCTTGGCAGGAATGGGCTAGGAAGTATTTAAAAATAAAGAGCTGATTTACTTGAGATCTGAACAATAGATAAAAAGTTTAAAATTGTTTCTGAGGAGAGGAAGAGTAGGATAAGCAAGGAGATGATACACCAAATAGATGGCGATGGTACAATGTGAGACTTGAAGAGGAGAACAAGGCAGTGGAGGGTAATCAAGTATCTGGTCAATTCCCTGTTGACTAAAGGAATTCCTCAGTGTCTTGAGTAAGAGAGTCAAAGGATGAAATTAATTTTAGACCTATATTTTAAATATAGTGCTCAGGCAAAACAAAAGACTATAAGGAGAGAAGTCAAAGATGGCAGTAAGAAATGAACCAATGGGGACCAAACACAATTTGAATAATAGCAGCCATAACAAAGAGAAATGGGTGAAAAGACTCTAACTTTAGAAGGCTGAAGAAGAAAAGCATTATAATAAAATTTCTCACTTTCCAATCTAGACCACAAATTATTCTCCACGCTCCTTGAAATCAGCTACTGGAACAAATGCCTTTAAAACATCACCCTGCTTCCTTGATGACCCAGAGAGATTTGGCGAGTGAGTGGAGGTTTAGTAACTATAACTTGCCACTAAGAACCCTCCATAAAAAGCATCCTGTTGTCGTTTTTTTTTGTTTTTTTTTTTAATCCTTTTCCATAGCCTAAAATGTCTCCCTCTTGCCCCAAATCCATGCCATTACCTTCCATCTTTCAAAATTAATACCAAACACCAACTTCTACCTTAAGTCATTGAGCTACATTTGCCCTTCTCTGTACATCACATACAGAACTTGCCAACATTTATGTGTACCTGTCATAGCACCCCTAAGAAGACAGAAAGCATCTGGGAGAAGAAACCAGTGTTGCCTTAGTATCATTGCCAGGTTCTATCATGATATTTCACATGTACAAGATGCTCAGTGAGTGTTTTCTGAATGAATGAATGGAAGGCTGTTGTTCATTAACATACCTTTATTTTGTAATGCTCTGAGAATTCATTCAGAACATTCTATTTTCTAAAAATTTTAGGTATTTTGTTTGTGTGTGTGTGTGTGAGTGTGTGTAGCATGTGTATATAAAATTACAGTAATAAGGACTAGGGATAAGAACAATCATAAAATTATCCAGGTTCATGAAGGCACTAAATGAAGGTGAGTCCATCTCTACATAATGCCCAAATTGGGTAGTGGGACAAAAATGTTTGGGGAGATGAAGAGTCTTTGCTGTAATGCTTATCTTCATATTTATTAATGTAACTTTCTAAATCTCAAGTTTTATTACCAGTACTTGAAATAGTAAAACTTGCCACGTAGAATTATAAGGGTGAAGTGACACTACTTATATGGATACCAAAAGGTGTATCACAGAGAAAAGAAATGTGTTTCCCCTTTCTCCACCCTCCTTCTCTTCAGGAAGAAAACACTCATGTATACGTAAAACTTATAAAGTTCTTATGCATACATCCACTGACACTGATGTGCTAATGATGCAGGTGTTTGACTCCTGCTTATATGAGAGAAGAGCAGACATAAAGAGCATCAACAAATAAAGTTGATAAGCATTCAGCTAAATATGGCTGTACCTATTACTGACGCCATTCAGCTGATGAATCCAGGATTTCTCAAGAAGACTCTAGCAACCATGTGCAAGAATCAGGTGATGGTGCCCTAGGGTGTTGGGGTGACTAGGGCTCCTTTACAGCACATTCAAATCATTGAAGAGTAAAGGCCTCCAACCTAAAATTCAGAAATAATATCAATAGGACAGTGCAGGATCTCAGAGACTGTATTGTATTATTTTCATACTTCTAACCCTGATAGTAAAATAGACCTGTATTGCCTCGGAGAGAAACCAAACTTCTTTTTCTAATTTTCTATTCTCCTGGACTGAGGGAAACTTGATAAGTGTGACCATTTCCATTGAACATTGAATAGAGAAAAAGTTTTGCAATTTAAATTAAAGTTTTAGCCAAAGGAAATTAGAATTTAGATTTGAAGATAAATTAAATTCCCATTAAGATAGCCACTGAAGTTGCTAGAGATGTTAGTATGTAAAAGATAGAGTGTCTACACTTGAAACAAACCACATTTATGAATTTTTTAAATGATTAAACAGTTTTTTACAGAAATATATAGTCCACATAGCCTCCAAAGTCCTCAAACTTAGAAAAACCATACATTTATTCTGATGCCATTGTCTATGTAATGACATTTAGAAATTCCTTTGAGAAATTGGTGTCAGAACCAATGCAGGAAATGAAGCATTTCCCTGTCTCAATCCATGTACATTAGTTTTAAAACCAAGAATGATGGTTTTAGGTCATAATATGGATAACCGTATAATACCTAATCCTACAATAATCATGAAAACTGTTATTTTGTTCAATTTCTTTAAGGGGGTTTCATTTATTCACTTGTGTCACACTGAAGTCCAAAATTTTAACTGAACTCAACTTTTCTACCTATATATAAAAATCCCTTAGGTAAAAACCTAGCTTTTGATTTTACTCATTTATTCATTGAAATGAATGAGCACAGATTTTCTGAATAAAGATATTTTGATAAGAAATCAATTTTATTAGGATTTTGAAAGGAAACAAAACACATTGAACATTTTTTTTTACATTTTATTAGTTTAAATTCTGCCACATAGGTTATAAGGGTTTCACGTTTGCAAGTCTTGATTTCAAGTTATTCTGACAATTTCTAAAAAGAACAGAATTTCTCTTCGAAGAAAAAATTTGCCAATATTCAAAGAAGTTTGCTACAACTTTTAAAGACAATTTCAAGGGAGGAATTCTAAAAATGTTTGTATACTGTTGGGTTGATTATAACTGGAATAAGGTCATAGCCTTCCAAAGTGTCTGCTCTGGTTGGACAATTTAAGGAGAGATCCTATTAAAGTTCAGTCACACTGGTTTATAGATATACTTAATCAATGGAAGGCTTTGCAGGGAACATTCAGTTTTATGGGAAGTGGGAGCCCCACTTCCTGGACTGTAATAAAAAGCTCTGATGCAGTCTCATAGGACCAGGAGGAAGAGTCTGTACACAGAACCTCCACTCTCCAGGGATATATAAAGGGACAAGCCAAGGCAGGGTTAGAATGCAACTGCAGACACTTGCTGCCTTCCTCCAACCACAGCCTGCTCTCCAACCCTCACCATGTCTTGCCACAACTCCTGCTCTGGAAACTACAGCTCAGGGTGTCTCAGAAATTCCTGCCATGTTCCTCTCAATGCCCCTGTTGCCCTCTGCTCTACAAATGTGAGCTGTGGAGATGTGCTCTGTGTACCTGGGGTCTGTCAAAACCAGGCCTGGTTCCCAGGCAACTGCCAGGAGACCTCTGGGGAGATGAACAGCTGCCAGCCTGCCAACTGCGAGACCTCCAGCTGCTCTTCCACGGCTTACTACGTGCCCAGGCCCTGCCAAGGATCTGGTTTTCTGCCAACCTCTTCCTTCCTCTCCAGCTCCTGCCTCCCAGTATCCTATAGGCCTCTGAGCTATGTATCCAGCCACTGTCGTCCAACGACTCCCCTGATCACTAGTTTCCAGCCCACGGGCTGTGTGTCCAGTGGCTATCGCCCCCTGACCTGTTTGCCCAACAGCAGCCGACCCCTGAACCTCCTCCCTTATGGGTACCGACCCACGGGGTGTTTGACCTACAATCCTCAAGCAGTGAACATTGTGTCCAGCAGCTTCAGACCTCTGCAGCCTCACTCCAGCAGTTGCCAGACTCTGCCCCACGTGTTCAGCACTTGCCGTCCATCTTGCTCGGCCCAAGGAGGCCTGTAGCATCCTCCTTCCAATGAAGATTCATGCGAAGATCCAGGACGAAAATTCAAATTCCATGGACTTTTGCTGCTTTTTTCTTGTTTTCACTGTGCCTAATCGAATGTGAGCTTCTTTCAACTTTTAATCTTGTTTTCCATCTTACCTTTACAAAGAAATTCAGCTTACAATGCTATCCAATGTTGCTCAGGTGTGGGAAGAATATATTGGATTCAAACTATAATAAATGAGATTCAGTGAAATTAAGAATCTGGTTCATGGATTTGTTTTCATTGTTTCATTCCAACAAACTCAAGCAGGTAGGACAGGTGATCCTCAACTGAACGTTTTTTTTTAACCTGATGGTAGGGGGAAGGTTTTATTTATACCTCCAGTAGTTCAGAAGTCTGGAGACTTCTAATCCCTATACTTGAGAGATCTCAAAAGTCCTTGATGAAAGTTATGTTGAAAAGAAAAGATTAGCAATGATCTCTCTTATCTCTCTCTTCCACTGAACACAGTTCTACCAGAACCCTGTGTCTAGCTGCGAACCTGGACATAAGCTTCTCCTTAAGCCTCGGATAGTTCCTGTGATCTATTCCAATAAGATAAAAATCCCAGCCCCTTAGTGTGATATCTGTTTTCCTTCATTGTCTTTCTCCCCCCTACCTTGCTGGCTTAATATCCTTCAGCTCAATATTGGAAACACTAAGCTCCTGCAATCCTCTCTTACCTGTAGGTTCCCAAACAAATGCTTTTTTATAATCACATACCCCTATACCCTTTCATATATATCAACATCAAGACCAGATTGTGCTTCAAGTCTATCTGCTTGAAAATTCATAACTTACTTTTATAACATAGCCTCAGTTTATTTATTAACCTGATGATTTATTTAAAAAAAAAAAAAAAAACACTATCACTTGCTTCTCATATGCCAAGTCACCATGTGCCAGGCACAAGAGATACAGAGGTAAAAAAGACTGGCATGAGGTTACCAGAAGTAATACACAATGGTACATATTTCAACTAAAGAAACATTTTCCCCTCATTTGAATTAAAGTGTGGGAATATTTATTTCACAAATTAAAACTATGCTGTAATGACATCAATATCCATCTTTTTGAGGAGGTGGAATATCAACAAAATGCGCCTGACATACAAGAAACACAATGGTCTCTAGAAACTGACTAGCAACCATTCCTTTTAGCAAGATATTCTCTGTCCTAATCTTTTTTTTTATAGTCAAATACCTTTTATTTTTAAATGTAAGAAATACATTTTACAAGTAATCAGCTTTTATTAAGTTATTCTTGGCATTGTAGCCATACAATAGATATAGAATGCAGTCGAGTTTCTGAAAGTAAAACATAATATTTTAAAAGATATCAAGCTACCATTAAATTATCATCACTGTACAGTTTCTAGGACACAGACATATATGTAAAAAGAAAAGTGCAATACCTATAGATTGAAGAAGAGCTGCACACTTGTGTATTGGAGATCTCCTTCTTGCTAACTAGTAACTTCTCACCCTTCAAGTATTAGCATGACATTTTTTTTCCTCTAGGAAATGAAATATCTCCCAAGATCAGTTTGTGATGATTTATTTGTTTTGATTTAAATCGTAGGATAAGAGCTGGAAATAAAAACCAAACAATCAGAATTGGTCAAGCAGAACCTCACATTATGCTGGTCACATTGCTTGGTGCATCTGTCCTAATCTTGACCCATAAAATTCCTGACCTTGAAGCAGTACTTAAAATCTATTCTAGTCTTTCCCCATTCTGTCTTTTGCCAAACATACTTGGCTTTCCTGGTTACTTAGAGGTGATGTCATGCACACCTTCTCTTTTTTGACACTTTTTCCCAGACCCTCTCTCTCCCTGCCCTAATCCTAATGAGTAAATCACACCTTGAACCAGCCTGCCTTTTATCTCAGACTCACATCCATGGTTGATTTTGTTAAATTAACATCACTTTAAGATGTAAATTGAGCTACAACATGCACACTATTATACACAAAACATCACTCCACAAATATAGCCATTATTCTCACTTGTGACCCACATATGAATTTTGCCTATTCTTGAAATTTTAAATAAAACTATAAAGTATCTCCCCAAGGTGTCTGTATCTGGCTTCTTGCACTAAATGTTTGTGAGAGTCCCTCATCTTGTTATGTGTGTCAGTACTCAATTTCCTTGAGCTAAATTTGCTGAAGCCATAACTCAGTACAAAGTATGATAATCATGTTGAGAAATTGCTGGAGGCTGAGTGTGGATTAGCAAGCATATGAAACCTCCTGGGGGCCATAGTCTTGGGTTTCACTTCCAGGGACTCTGCCAGTTTCTCATGACAAATCCCTGTGAGGGAAAGGGGAGAAGTAATCCCAGAGAGCAAACCTAGGACCTCCTCCTTAACAAATCCCCACTATCTAAGAGAAACAGCTTCATGAAAACCTTATCCACCCAGGGGTGGATGTCTCCCCCTTTTGGGGCCCCACTAGCTCTCCTGGCTCATTTAAGTAGGGATGGGTAGGATTAAGAAACTCTTGGAAGGTCACAGCTTAGGGACACATTCCAATTAAAAATCTGATATTTAATTATAAGATTATAGAATGCTTCCCCTCTCCTCTACCTTACCACCACACCAACATTGTCTGGAACATAATAACAGTGGAGTACAGATGAAAGAGCTACTTGATGAGATTCTCCCTGAAGAGAAGTGGCTAGGAAACCTGAGAGCCAAGTATGGAGGAAAAAAATAAGGATGCTAAAAAAATAGGAAGACTCTGACGCCTGCAGCTACAGTAGATATTAAATATAACCTAACTCACAGCCATATTAACTTCAAATCTCATGCCAAAGTCATATTTATCTCAGTTTCTATTGCAGAATATAGCATGAGTTCTAACCAAAAAAAAAAAAAAAAAAATGGAAGGCATGCCAAAGAGCCGTAAAAACGCAGCCTCCAGAGAAAAGGAAGCATCAAAATCAGACTCCGACATAGATGTTTAAATGATCAGACAGGGAATTTAAAATAACTCTGATGAATATGTGCACAGTTCTAAAAGAAAAAAATAGACTACATATGAAAACAGATGGGCAATGTAAGCAGAGAAAGAGAAATTCAAAGAATTTACTACCAAGCCAAAACTGCAAAAGCAATGGGGTCATTGCAGATGTGTCCTTGAGGACTGTATTTTGTCCCTTTCCTCCCCCTACCCACTCCACCCTCCTCCTGGTGATCTTGAGCTAGAGGCTTCCCCTCACTAGACCTTTTCACCATGCCTTGGGACTAAAGCAGTGGAGCAGTCAACAATGGACTTAAACCTCTAAAACCTTGAGCCAAAATAAATCTTCTCTCCTTTAAATTGTATATGTTGGGTATTTTGGTCATACTGGTGAAAAGTTAATTAGAATACTACAAGAGCATCTCTTTAAATCTGTGAACTGTCTCAGATGGCTAAGTCAATATTTCATTGTATCACTTGATAAGGGTACTTGTATCCTTGGAAGTTATTTCAGCATGCATAATAGCTCAGTAAACAAGGAACACCTATCATGTGCTCAGCTCTCTTCTGGGTGCTTGGGGTATATAGTAAACAACTCAATCTGAGGGACTGAAGGAAAATAAGTGGTAAATGCAGAAAAGTATGATAATATCAGAGTGTATAAAATAGTATATAGTGAGTAAAAATGGTATTACAAACAAGGGAATTGGTTGCTTTTAGCAAGATCAGGGGTATTTTTGTTTCTCAAAAAAATGACACTTGAGTTATACCTACAAGAATTACAAGAGAGCTCCCTGAGATTGGCTGGGGTAAAGAGTGTTTTAAGCATAGAGAACAAGGTCAAAAGCAGTTACTGAAGGGTAGTGAGTGAAGAGAGGACGGTAATAGAGAATTTGCCAATGTTTCCGAGATATTCGACCCTCTCACCAATGACATGGTCAACTCCATCAGGTATGTCTAAAATGTGCTTAGCAAGCACTGGTTGTTTTCCAAAAGCACAGCAAACTCAGCCAGATGGGCCTCTAATTAGAGATGACTCTTTCTTCCAGACTTGCTATAAATCACAGCATCTTGCTGAGACAGTAAATCTCAAAGTGGCCCATATGACACAAGACAGACTGTTTCATGAGATAATCTTTGAAAAGAGATTGCAGATATAATTTTTAGAATCTGTTAAACGGTTATCAATGCAGCATTTGCATTACTCTAGGTTCTGACAAAAATTTTAGTAAGGAAATGTCCTGAGATGTCTCTTAGAAAGGGAGGCAGGGGAGCTGGGTAAGGACTCTTTCAGTGTGCCTGCAGTTAGGCAAGGTGTGTTAGCCTCATCTCTTCCTGCTGCTTGCTCACTCAATCTGCTGAATAAAAACCTGGACCAGCAGTGTTTGAGCCTTTGGATTGATTCTTCTAAATGATGTGGTATAAGAAAATTCTATATGTATGATTGTTAAACCAAGAGAAAGGGTAAGATAGTCAGTTTTCAATCATAGGGATGATACATGGACGTGCCCTTCACAGCCAGTTGAGGCAGTGCAGAACTTTGTCTTTACAATGTCCACACTCCTCCAAATTTAACTAGGTTTGTTAACTTTCAACACAAAGCTATTCAATCAATACCTAGCAAATATATTGCTCACTTTTTGAAGGTTAGCAAATCTCCAAACTACATATTGGGACATCAGGGAATCCCTGACTGTAAACTTCACAAGTAATACAACACAAAATATAAAGTACTCTAATTCTGTGGCTGTTAGCACATCTACCATGGCAATTGTTAAATATTTGTTTTGTTTTCCCTTGTTCAATGTCCAAGTATTTTTCATCTCTCAAATTATATGAACCTTTATGACTATTTTTCTGATTTCTTTACTTCTTCTATGTAGGAAATTTATCTGCATATTTTAGTGCATTTTCTTAATCCAATAAGCATATGCCATCAATGCATTTTAATTGTTACTGACATACTCACCATGATTATTTTACTAATTTTTATGGGAAATGCAAATGTTCATCACATTGGTTTCATCTCCTACTAATATAATTTGTGCTAAAATATGTCTAGTAATGAAACTAAGGTTCTACTTTAAAATGCAACATACGACTATCTCTACTCTGAGACTTCTAGCAATTGTCTTGATAGGTGGCATTGATTAAGAAAACTCCTCTATATTAATAATAACCTCCATGTCCTAGGCATTCTCCATATTATGGAAGACAGTGACCTTTCCTTAGTGGG